GTGTCCTGGCAAGAGAAGAGATAGACATAGGGAGGAGCCATGGAAGGGCAGAGACTACGGCCAGGCGGTCACAAGCCCAAGGATGCCTGAGCTACCAGGAGCTGGAACACACAGGGAGGCTGCTCTGGGCTTGCAGAAGGACCTGGCTCTGAAGCACCTGACATGTGAGAGCATGAACTGCCCACAGGCACAGCACTCAGCCTGGAGCACTGTGAATGGCAGCCACGGGGTACTGATGAGCATCCACTCTGCCTCATTGGAAGATGCTCTTGTCCAAAATAAGGTACTGCTGCATGTCCACACCGCTGCAGGATGGTCAGGGTGTGAGACTGGATGAGCACGTGGCCCTCCTGCCTCACAGCTGCCCCGAGGGGGAGCCATCTTACTTCCTTGTTTCAGGCAAAGAAACAGGCTCGAAAAGTCTCTGGCAGTACAAGGTCACCTTCAGGACACAGTCAACCTGAGAGGGCTGAGAACAGCCAGAGTCCACAGCTGGGGCTGTCCTTGGCCTCAGGGAAGGTGACTGTGGACCAAGGACGTTCAGCTGCAGGTTGCCACCATGGAGACCAGTCAGACGGCAGTGGGGGCATGCTGGGGCCTGCCTGTGACAAGGCCTCTGTCCCACTCCAGCTGCTGGGATGGTTCAGCCCCTGCTGCTGCCTGGCACCAGGGGAAACTGGCAGGGGCTCTAGAGGGAGCATATGTTCCACTCAGCTTCTGGGGGAGCCAGGCCTGCTCCTCTGGAGAGGTGAGATGGGCCAGTACACCTGTGCCGTGGACAGCCACCACCAGGCCTGTCCCCTCCCACAGCTCTGAAGAGCCAGCAGGTAGGATGCTGCCCGTGGAGCCCCCAGGGTGCCAAAGCAGCAGGACTCAGCCTGGACTTCGGGACTTCCAGCCCACCCCCAAGTTTTCTTTGCCATGATGGGTGACAAGGGGGCTCTTAGGATGCACCAGAAGCTCCTCTCAGACAGCATATGTCAGACCAGAGCCGTCACATCAGAGGGCAGAGGCTGGACTCAGTGGGTGGCACTGTGCCTGGGTCCAGCAGCCAGACGGGCGTGTGTCGCCCAGGGTCAACCTTGGGCCCCTTGTCTATGTCCGAAGCTTCTGCCTGACTCCCAGCAAAGCTGGCCTGGATGTTCACCTCCACCCCGCAGCCTGAAGACCCCCATCTGAGGCTCGCTCAGGGCCCAGCAGGCCTGCAAGCCTCCACTGGGATCCAGTGTCCCCACTCAGGAGGACTCTAGGGCCAGAGGGAGGCAGGGTCTGCAGGGGCTATGGCCCAAAGCACCCTCTAGAAGGTAGCAGATAACAAATACCAGGTGACAAGTGGCTGTCTGGGAGGGACCCGGGGCCACAGGGCTCAGCTTTCCAAGGAGCACATGGCCAGGTCTGGGAGGCCTGGCTGCCTCTCAGCTGAGGCTGCAGGGTGGGCAGCGGCCACCTGGACAGAGCCCTTGCTGCTCTGCCTCTCCTCTTGTCCAAATTCAGGTCTGACCTGGGTGTCTGCAGCCCCAGAGCCTAGTGGCCGGGGACAGGTGGGGCCTGCACCAAGTGCGTGTGCCCCACCTGGGCACACAGCCCTAGGCCTGCTCTTCTTCACCAAGGGCCGTGTGCCCAGGCCCCTCCAGGACACCCTTGCTCCACAACTGCTCAAAGCGGGCCCTGGGCCCATCCTGGGGATGTGCTGTTGCTCCCAGCTGGTCCCTCATGTGCCAGGGCCTCCCTCACACCCACCTTCTGGGGCCCTGCCCATGTGGGATGAGCAAAGACACATGCGTTCCAATGGATGCTATGTGGGTGTCCCGAGGGAGGCCATACTGAGGCATCTGGGAGCCAGGCATCCTGAGTCAGCCTGTCCTGTAACCTCCCCCCACCCACTGAGGCTGTAAAGTTGGGTTTGTCACTTGTGACCCAAGGTACCCTGTGATAGCACCCTGGAGTAAGTGCATCCCTGGTCCCTCTGTCCCTGCTAGGACCCTGAGGAAGGAGCTCTCAAGATCGGGGCTGGGCAGGCCTGGTGCAACAGGAGCTGGAAGCTGCTTCCAGGGGTTGCTGTGTGGAAGCAGCTACTGCAGGGGTGAAGCGCACGCTGCAGGGGCCTGCGCCCAGCTGCTGCGTCCTCTGTCCACCCCAGTGCCTGGTGTCTGGCTCAGTTTCCAAGATCAAGCCCCTTGGTGGTGGGTCATGTGATGCTGCTTCAGCACCAAGAAGACAGGCCCAAAGAGGAGCCCAGTTAGGCACAGCTCCTGCTGGGGTCCAGGGTCAGAGTGAGGCCGCCTGCACACCAGCCTTTCACAGGCCACGTTCACCTCCTGTGGTGCCTTCCACCTGCCCCGGCCACAGGCACCACTGAAGCTGGGGACCTGCAGGCCCACTCCACTGTCACGCCCCACCTCTGCTGCTGCCCACAGAGACCCACCAGAGCATCCCTGCTCTCCCCTTGGGAGCCCTTCAAGACCTGCTGGTCCCAGCCTGTAGCCACGGCTGGACACTGAGCACATGGCCTAGTGGCTGTCCACTGAAAGCCTTGGATGTCGCCAGAGGTGTGGGGCTGTGGCCTCAGGGCAGCCAGGAGGAGTGCTGCCATCTCACCAGGAGCTCTCAGCAGCCACACTGAGCCCCTTGGGCTGCCTAGTGAGCCCCACCTAATTTCATGCCTGTAGTTTTCCAACAAGAAAGCAGCCAGACAACAACCGCAGTCTCTCAGAACCATCTTCCTGCCATTTTCCTGAGCTGCTGACAGTGTCCCCAGCGCTAGAGCCATCATGCACAGAGTCGGGTGGCATGGGACAGGGCCAGAGGGGCCCTGGAGGCTGTGCAGGGAGGGGTGCTGGTGGCATGGTGGGGAAGGAGATGACAGGTCTCCTGTGTGCCTGTCTGTCCTTCTGCTAGGAGGGATGTCTGTGTCGTGACCCATGGCAGAGCCCCAGGCAGTTCCCAGGGATGGGGGCTGGCAGAAGCTTGTGCTCAGACTGAGGTCAGACCCTGGTAGCTTAGGGAGAGAGGGTGCCCAGTGAGAAAAGTGGCCAGAAGAGCTGCAGCCATACACCCCAGTTGCCCTGTCCAAATGGGTGTCTAGTTCTGCCAGGCATCTGCTCCTGCAGGCAGGGCTTCCTGGAACCCAGAGGGCATCTGCAGGGGCAGCAGGCCAAGCCTCTGTGGCCACACTGCCTCCTGCCCAAGACCCATCTGTTTCTGGGCCACCATGTACCTAGGGACATAAACAGCCATGCCAGTCCTGTGAGAAGCATGAGGGCCTCCACTGGCCTGCAAGTCTGGGTGGCTCAGGTGTCCTTCCTGCACACCCAGATCTGTCCTGCTTCCACCAAGGGCCTGTCTCAGGAAGGCAGGAACTAACCACCTTGGAGTTGTCCTCCCTTGACTTGTCCCTTCTACCAGGGGAAGGTACTCTGCATAGCTGTTCCCAGGGGGGAGGACATTCCTGCCACCTGGAACCCAGAGCTGGGTAGATGCAAATCCAGCCCAGACTTGCCCATGGTGGCCTCAAGCTAAGGGACCAGCACCCAAGGAACGGGCACCCTTGCTGTGGAGACAGCTGAGAGGTCTGGGTCAGCAGGTGTCCCTGCATGGTCAGGAGGACCCAGGTGGTGGCTCCTGAACAAGGCCCAGAGCTTGCCCAGACCATCCCTGCTGTCCCATCTGCAGGACAGCTCTGCAGATGCTCAGGCCCGGCATCTGTCCTGGGAGGACATGGCACCTCCAAATACCCCCTGGAGCTCAGGAAGGGCAGCTGGGTGAGCAGGAAGACCTCGCCTTCCCCAGGGGCTCTCCAGCACACCAGCAGGTGTGCCCACCCTCTAGGCGCTGAAGGCCTAGGATGTCGCCAGAGGTGTGGGGCTGTGCCTCCCGGCCCACTGCAGTCCTGGCTCTCTGGGTTGGGGGGACACCGAGCCGGGAGGGGAGCTGCTCCTCCACCCTCTAGGCCTCTCCTCCTCTGCCAGGTTCTCCTACCACTGCAGCAGCTGCCCTGGAGCCAGGGCTGGCGGGTCTCATTTGTAGGCACTCCCAGAGTCACCTGCGTGGGTGGCTGGGGTGCAGTGTGGAGCCAGGGTGACTCTGCCCTCCCTCTCCAGGACCTGGCTTGAGGTCCAGCCCAATACACAGGATGCTGCCAGCCCCTCTGGGCAGAGGCCTCCCTGAAAACCAGGAGTGGGTGCTCCCTGCAGGGCCACAGGAAAGCTCAGACTCGCTGGGGGAGGAGCCGCAGCGCCACCGCGTGGCCCTGGGTGTGCCTCAGGCCACACAGTGGGGTCCTGGTAGGCTGGGCTGAGATGGAAAGCAGGGTGGCACTCTGTTTCCCCTGGAGGGCAGGAAGGGCAGCCGCCAGCGCCTCCTGCAGACCCTGTTTTAAATATGGGTGCTGAGAGATGTTCTGGCTCTGCGCTCGACCTGATGTCACCAGTGGGACCAGAACAGTGGCCACATTGGGAGGCGGAGCCCAAGAGCTGTGGTGGCGGGAGGGAGCCATGCATGAGGCCAGTGCTCCAGGGCTCCTCTTGGGTGCTGACCCCAGACCACGTGCCCAACAGCAGGACCTCAGCATGGCGAGGAGGGCTGGCCTGTGGGGGCGGTGTGCTGCAGTGTGGGCAGCACAGAGACCTGGAACCTGTCAGTGCAGCACACAGCCACTGCCCCGGGGACTGCCTGGCCCCTGGCTTTCCACGACAGCCTGTGGCCTCGACCTGGACTGGTCCAAACACGCCTGGCCCAGGCTGCCCTCGGTGAGCTCCACAGGGCACCTGGTGCAGACAGGTCTGCGGCCATCCACTGGGGCCTGCACTCTGCGGAGCCTGGGCAGCCACCCAGGGCAGAGTTCCCATCTGGCTGGATGGGGCTGGTGCCCCACCAGGGAGGTCACACTGCCCTGTGCTACCCTCCAGCAGGGACAGCCCTGAGTGCCGAGCCTCTCACCCAGGCTGGGGGGGGGGTAGGGGTGGGCAGGGGTGGGCAGGAGGGGGTGGGGGGAGGCTTACCTTGTCGTCCATGCCACTCTCGCTGTCACACTGCAGGGACAGAGAGAGAGAGAGAGAGGTGGGTCAGGACCTTCTTGCCCCTTGGGGCACAAGTGGCAGGCACCTGTGGGTGTCCCCTGCCACATCTCAGCTGAGGGCTCTAGGCCCCACAGCTCCACAGCCCCACAGAGAAGGCTCTGGGGACCAGCGCCCCTCTGCATAGACACAGGGACCGCATGAGGTGCACACCAGGGTCCCATCCCAAAGGAGGGCTTTCATTCCTGGCTGTGGTCACAGGCTCCTGCACCCTGGAGGGACAGGCCCTGGTGTCAGTGGCCCCTCGGGGCATGGCTGTCTAGGTAAACCAGGTATGCCTGGGGCCCACGCTCCCTGTCCTGGTCTGAAGTTGGGACTCTGAGGCGGCCCCAGCACCCAGCTCCTCCTGCAGGAGTGTGAGTGCCAGGCCAGGGCCACCTGTGGCTGAGAAGGGGCCCAGGCCAGGTGGGAGTTCACAGAACATATCTTTGTTTTCCATTTTCAATAAGAAGAACTGAGAAGCTAGAGAACAATACAGTTTCCCCTAAAAGAATAGGAAGGAAAGTCTCCTCCAGGATGACGTGCTTACGCCGGGCAGCCTCTCCAGCCCCAACACTGCAGCCGCGGCAAGCTGGGATTCACCAGCCACTCTCTGCTTAGGGACCAGAGACCTCCAAGGCTATCTCTGAGGGTGGGTGGGACCCCAGGCAGCAGGGACAGGCTCAGGGGCCTTCTGTGGCTGGCAGACTTCACACCTGCAGGCTGTGAGCTGGTGTGCCCAGTGGGCTGTGTGGAGCCCCCAGGCATAATGGAGCTGGGCCCACCCAGGGCCCTGGCTGGGGGCTTTGTGCCAAGAGCCGTCCACATGCCCCACAAAGGCACAGAGCCTGTGAGTGCACAGCGGTCCCTCCCTGGCCTGGGTGGCAGGTGTGGGCTGGCTGCAGGCAGGCCCAGGGCCCCTGGTCAGGGAAGAGATTCTGCCACTCACCACTGCCCAGAGCTTGTCAGGAGAGAGGACAAGGATGTGGGTGGGGATGGGACTGCCCAGACCCCAGGGCTCAGGGAAACAGAAGGAAAGTGGGGAGGGGAGGGGCAGAACCTGGCTGGCCATGGCCACACTAGTGATGTGGGAAGGGGAGCCTGTGGCTGTAGGAGGCCCCAGAGTCCTGTCTGTGGCCCCCATGGATCTTACAGCCTGGGGGGGAGGGTCCAGTGGGACCTTCACTTGCTCGATTCCCACATGGAGACCGAAGTTGCAAACTGCAATCCCATCAAACCTCCAGGGTGCAAGGAGCATCAGCTCCTGCTTGCCCTGCCTGCTACGCGGGGCCACATGGATGTGCCAGGACCGGCATCCACCAGGACCACTTGCCATGCCTGTCCTCTGTTCCTTTGCCAGCCCCCAGAGCCCTGCTAGAGACCCTAGCCACCACAGGCTTCCTCATGGATTCTGGGCCTGAGGCTGGGCTGGGCCAGGAGGCAGTGAGACTTGTGGAAGGCTGTTAGACTGTCCAGCAATAATGGAGGGAGCCTTCTGGAAGGCAGGAGAGAACAGTAGCCAGGATCCTAGAGTTACCAAGCTGCACCTGCTGCCGGCCAGCCTGGGCAGGACCATAGTGAACCTGTGCTAGTCAAGGTCCGGTGAGGTGACTGGTCAGGGCAGGGCGAGAACAGTCATATCTGCTTTGGGAGCTGCCCAAGTGAGCAGACCTTCAAGGAGCTGGAGCTGGGTGTGGCTGCCCTGGCAGGACTCAGGCCCATGGGGAAGGGCGGAGATATGAGCCCTGAAGCAGAAGACTGCTCTGATGCTATCCTGCTTCCTCTGCTGTGCAGCCTTGGACAGATCCCTTGCCCAGACTGTGCAACAGCTTTAGCATCTGAGGTCATCTCTGTCCTCCACCTCCCTGGGCTGGTGGACCCTTGGGTACAGGGGTCCTCTAGAGACCCTGGCTACAGAGGGCAAAGTCAGGACGCAGGAGGCAGAAGTGCTACAGGAGGGGCAGGGAGGTGACAAGTTGGGGAGGACTCCTGGCAGGGTGGGGGAGGGGCCTGTGGTGGAGCAGGGGGCAGCTGGGAAAGTCAGGCAGCCACTGAGAGCCACCAGAGGGACAGGCCAGGTGGGCTTAGCAGGGTGGCTCTGCTGCCAGGAGAGCCCAGCTGATGGCCAGGAGGGGATGAGAGCCGACAGTGGGAACTGGGTGGGTGTACGCTGAGGGTGACCAAAGGACCTGCAGATGGACCCCAGGAAGGCTTGGGTAAAAATGGGCAGCACCTACGGGATGAAGCAGAGCGATACAGGTAGGGAGAAGCTGACAAGTGGGAAAGACAGAGGAGAGAAGCTGAGGGGAGGGAGACAGAGGAGAGAAGCTGAGGGGAGGGAGAAGCTGAGGGGAAGGAGAGACAAAGGAGTCCTATAAGGGCAGCTGGCAGCACCACTCGATTCTGGAGTGTCCGTGGCCTCCACTGGGCCAACAGCCTGCGTGGGGTCAGCTGATCCTCAAACCCAGCTCTGTTCTGAGACCAGGAGAGCTCTGGGCAGTGAGCGCTAGAGGCCCCTGGGAGGGCAAGCGGGCACCTGGCCTGGTCCCTGTCTGGCCTTCCACCAGGCACACACCTCCCTTCTGCTGCTGGCTATAGGCCCTGGGCCTCCACCACACAGCCAAAGGTGACCCGGCCACAGGCACAATCCACTGCCCCCTGTGCACCCCCCTGGTCTCCCAGCATCACCCACCTTGCCTCTGGACCCTAGCCTGGTAGCCTCACTGACCACAGCTCCACTGGGCCTGGCCTGCTTTCTTGGGAAGGCCCTGCCATCCACCTCTGCAGTGCCACCAAGCCTAGTGACCCCCTGCCCCTCTGCTCTCTGACAGACCCCAGCATCCCCCTCCTGCCCTTCCCTTGGATGCTGTGGACAGAAAGGCAGGTGTTGCAGACCTCTGCCCCGGCCTGGAGCGCAGGGCCCGCTGCAGCCTGCCAGGCATCCGCCCTGCACACCTCAGAGCCTTTGCCTGTCCCAGCTGGGCCAGGGGACAGAGAGCCAGAGCTGGAATGATAAGGGATGCTCTGCCCCAGGGAGCTGACCTTTCTGAGTGCACCAAAGGGAGACCTCACATGCCCGACTCCAGTGCCCACTACCTATGAGTCACTGATCCACACGCAGGCTCAACGAGGAGCCCCCAACACTGATCCCCACTGCGTGGGGCAGCACGGCCAGGCCTCCAGCACCACCCAAACTCCAGTGGGCTTCCTGCCCGCAGGCACCCTCACCAAGGACAACCACTGGCCGGGCCTCCGACACCCCTCCTGCATCTGGCCCCGCACAAGTCCTAGGGCTCATTGGGGGTGTGCAGGGGGGAGGGAGCAGGCCAAGGAATCTGGGGGCCTCAAGTGCTGGGTTGGACTGGACCTGATCCTGCAGCTCATCATGGTTCAGGGCTTGTGGTCAGGGGCAGGACTGGCCACCTGGTGAGGACAGGAAGCCACTGGAACCCCAGGAAGGAAGGGGGGAAGGTGGGGGTTCCTGGCCCAGGCCCCATAACAGTCAGAGCTGCCGTGGAAGCCAGACTATCTCCTTGGTGACCCACTACCCAATCCCAGATCAGAGGGCACGGGGTGGGCACAGCTCCTGTGGCAGGATCAGGATAGGTGACTCCAAGAGCCTACACCAGACCCCCAGCTTGGGAGGTCAGCCCCAAGGGCCCGCCTCACGCTCGGGCAGCAACTCTCATTAGCCTGGAGCTGGTGGGGCCAGAGAGGTTTCTGGAGCATGGGGAAGGGCAGGGGGTGGCCCCCAAGTGGACTCCGTGAGTGAAGGGCCACGGCTAGGTTCTGAGGCCAGGCTTGTTCTGCCCTGTGTGCTGCCCATGCTGGGGAAGCAGGGCAAGGGGCCTCTGGCCATGACCTGCTTCTGGACTGTGTGGAGGCCACAGGCTGCAGGCGTATACTCAGGCCACCTGCTCCAGAGCAGCAGACAGGAAACTGTGGGCACCTGCGAGTCAGCAGGGGCAAGAGGAGGGCGTAGGAGAGCACTCTGGGGCCACCAGGCCACTGGGTCTAGGCTCCGAGGGCAGAGGCAGCTGCCTTGGTCTCTCTAACTCTCAGAGGTGGGCTACCCTGCAGCAGACCCAGGGGAGGCTCTCAGCCCATGGAGGGCCTATCCAGGGGCCAGGCGCATGCCCAGGCCACCCCAGCACTGCTGGCCCCACCCCCCACTGGCTGCCACCTCACTCTATGCCACAGAAGAATGACTTGCTGGCTAAACTGTGGGCGGGGAGGGAGTCCTCTGGCATGGGATACAGGGTGGAGGGGGCTGCCAGGCAGTCTGAAGGGTCATTTCCTGTTTCTGGGGGCAGAGTGAGGACACCCTCGCTTGCAGGGCTTGGCCTTCCGGGGGCAGCACAGTGCATGACACTGAGTTCTGTTCTGTTTCCACAGAAACAGGGAAGGGATGGAAAGGGCAATGGAGAGCTGGGGCGTTCTCGAGAACCAGTGCTCTCCCAAACCACACTCGGCCCCCAGGTCCTCGCCACAGCCTGCGGCTCAGGGGGACAGACCCTTCCCAGGTTCTGCAGGCTGCCTCCCCTCCTGCCGCTGTGCTGGTGCTACACCAGGGGAGCCCGCCAGTCCTCCCGCCCTCATCTAGCCCTGTGCATGGCATGGACAGGGCCGCAGGAGCCCCTGCTCCCCGCCCTCCCAGTTCCTCACCATCAGCACCCACTTCCTTGGGGTTCCCTGACCTCTGAGATGCCCTTGTCCAGAGGCCTCGCCAGTTTCACCTGTGGCTACCGCAGGGACCCTGCTCTGTCTCCTTTGGCACGCCCAGGCTCCGGTGGTTCCTCCTGAAAGGCCGGCTTTCTTGCCCTCTGCCCTGGGGAGAGCAGGTCCAGAGGGCAGGGCCTTCCGTGGTTGGTCTGTAGTGCCCCTGGCACCTGATGTACAGCCTAGGTCACTCCCTGGGCACACGGGTGGACGACAGGAGGCAGAACAGGCACAGGTGGATGCTGCTGCTCCTGCACTGGCCACCCCTCCAACAGCTGGCCTCAAGACCCTGTGCGCAGAAGTGAGGAGGGGCAGGGGCTCTCCTGACTCCTGGGGACGTGATGTGCTTTTATTGCATTTGTACAGTCATAGCTGCTCAGGGGTGGCCCAGGGCCGTGTGGTGACGTCATAACCTGCCTCAGAAGTGACCCAGGGGTTGTGTGATGACACCATGAACCTGCCTGTCAGACTTTGCCCTAGCCTCGGGCTGGCCCTCCTTTCTGGCTGCCCAGCCCCAGATGAGGCCGGAGGTGCTTCCTCTTCCCACCTTCAGCATGGGTTCCCCCATGCTGTGTCAGTCAGAGCTCCACCTGGCCTGGCCTCTGCCCCCTCTCCACCCCTGGGCCCTGCTAGCACCACCCCTTGTGGTGCCCCTTAGCATGCCTGGGCCCCACTCTGCACGCTGTGCTGGAGTTCCAGCCCTCTGGTACTGTCTAAGCGAGGCCTGGACCTGCCGGCCACCCTGTTCACCACTTCCACCAGGGCAGCTTCTCCTGAGCTTGGCGACCATCTCTGTGCACACTTCCAGTCACAGAGACTGGCCACAGGAGACACTGGACAAACACTGGCTGGTTTTCTTCTGTCTGGGGGCCACAAGTCATGCTCTAGCCACGAGGAGGGCAGGTGGTGGGGACCATAGAGGTCTTAGTGGCACTCTTAGGGACAGAGGAGGGGAGGGCACAAGGTGTCAGCTCCTTCCTGACCATGATGAGGGCCCTGGGTGGCTTTGGGCAGAGCTTCCGGGTGGAGGGCTCCGGCTGGAGGGCGGTGGAGATCTTGGCTCCAGTCCCATGAGCCTCTCTGGAGGAAAAGAGTGGGCTAGAACCAAGTGCCCACCTCACAGGTTGGCAGTCACAGCAAGGACCACCTGCAGCTGTTCTGCCTCCTCCTCTCTGTCCTGGTCACCTCCACCCAGGGGCCTCTCAGGAGCAGCTGCAGGTGTCCACAGGGCCTTTCCCCTTTACGAAGGGAGCCCAACCCTGCTCTGTAGGAAGCAGACCCCCTCAGCTTTGGATGCAAGCAGCCAAATTAGGAAGATTGCTTTCTAACTAATTTCATGGCGTTAACAAAGATCTGATGGTTTATGTAGGAGGTGGGGACCACTTCTGGAACACAAGCCATTGAGGGTGAGCAGTGACAGGGGACTTGCTGGGGACAAGGTCTTTGCAGAATTAGCCCACTTAGAATAGGGTCTAGGAAATCAGGTCAGCTGACAAACGTCCCTGCCACCTGGGATAGGGATGCCCTGGGGAGGGACAGGCCATGTGTGTGCTCCTCGTTAGTGGGCTCCAAGCTCTTAGAGAGCCCCGGAGCTCGCCTGTACACCCACATGCAGACACAGGCCCGATACGTGTCCACAGTTGCCCTGGGGGCTCTCCTGACACCTGCAGGTGAGGCAGGCCACGCCCGCAGGCACATGATAGACATGCGCCAACACACAGGTATACCAAGGGCCCCAGGTGAGCTGCATACAGACATGAGCCAGCCAACCTGAGGGCACAGGTCTGAGGCCCCTGGGGCCCACCCTGGTCTCATGGCATTTTGTAGCTCCCACCCAGCCCCTGGCGCTTGAGCCCCCCTGCTGCATACAGGCCACCCAGGTGGCTGCAGCTCCTCAGCCTCTGAAGACGGGCCTGGTCCCACTGTCTGCCTGGGGTCTGACCTCCATGCTGACTAGACGAGAGGCTCACTGGTGTGACGAAAGCCTGCAGGGCCAGGGCTGACCACCTGTGCTCTGCACCAGGCCACCTACAAACAGCAGGGCCCTGTCGGGGTCAAACACACATGCCTGCACACCCAGGGCCCGTCTGCATGCACCAGGGCTTCCATCACCCAGAGGACCATCTGCAGACCTAGGGCCGCCTGGGCTGCTGCTCGGAGGGGAGCGATGCCCGCCCTGCCACCATCTGTCACTCCTACAGCAGCTGTGGGGGCTGTGCTGGGACAGCTGGCAAGTCAGTCACAGGCTCTCCAGAACCGCCAACCAGGCAGCGTCTGGGGAGGAGCCTGGGAGACAAGCAGGGATCTGGAAGCAGAGGAGCAGCTGGTGGCTGGGGCAGAAAGAGCCCGGCCACCCCAGGGCCACAGCTGGCCTGGAAGCCTTGGCCTCCAGGCAGGGCACCTCCCTGAGCACAGGACCTGCCCTCGCCCCAGCTGTGGCCACTGGCAGGACCTCTGTGGTGCTCACAGGGACACGGCGCCTCCACCTCGGGGGCTTGGCCCAGGCACCCAGCACTCTTCCTGCCCACGAGAACCCCAACTCCCTGGAAAGCTGGGGTGTGGCAGTGGGACTCAGATCCACACTCCCTCTGCCAAGTGCCCCAGACATGAGATGGCCGACTCCACATCCAGCCACCTTGCCTATCCTGGAGAAGCCCAGTTCTCAGCTTCTCCAACCTACACAACAGCCTGCAGCAACTATGGGACCTGCCACCACAACAGCAGGCTTGGTGTGTCTGGCATAGCCCTGACCACTGCTGGCCATGCCCTGCTCACTGGAGCTGTGGCACCTGGGGTCACCCTGGCTACAGCCTGCTGGAGCTGTGGCATGTGGGAATACACTGGCCATGGCCTGCTCACTGGAGCTGTGGTGTGGACGCAATGGCCACGGCCTGCTCACTCCTGTCCTTTCCAGGTCCCGCGGAAGCCCAGCAGGGAGCTGTGGCGCTCTCTGTGCTTGGCCCCACTGAGTAATTACTAGGTGAAGCACATACCCGGGAGTCGCTGTGGCCACAGGGATGGGGTTGTGGATTGCAGAGATGGCTTTTATGGAGATCTGGGCTTCACACTATCTACCTTCCTCCTGACATTGAGGGAAAAGGAAGGGTTGCCAGGAGGGCGCAGGGGCTGCTCTGAGGGAGCCTGGAGCAGCGGATCTGGCGGGGCCAGGTGTTGGCCCATCCCATTGGCACAGGATGTCACTGGACAGCGCTCGCAAATGCACGGTGCACTTTCCCAGGGCCCCAGACCCCCTCCCCTGTACTGGCCACAGGTGGCACCAGCTCCAGGACGAGTTCCTGTGCCCATCTGTGCTCAGGCGCCTGAGGCTATGCCTGCTGTGCCCATGTGGGCTGAGCACCCTATGGCTCCTGGCAGAGGCCCTGCATGCAGCGCCTCGTGGGTGTCCCCAAGTGGCACATCCCTGTGAATCATGGCCCCAGGGCATGTGCACCCTCCACCCCCACAAGGTCACAGCCAGAAGCAGATCCCAGGATGGTGGGGCCTGGGTGTGGGAGCTGCTGGGCAGGTGTGCTGGGGGCGGGCTCTGTGGCAGGGGCCACTCAGCAGGGTGGAGGGGTGGGGAGACTTACGGAGTAGCCTCTCCCAGACGCGGCCTGCGCTGAGCTCTGCAGAGGAAGAAAGGATGATCAGTAGTGGGCCACAGCACCTCCTCCCAGTGCCCACCACCCCAGCTGGAGACAGGCCCACAGACCCTCCCGGACAGGGCCTCGAGGACTTGGCTACAGAAGGCAGGACGGAGCTGAGTGCTGGCCAGTTCTGGGCAAGAGACACTGCAGGGGCGGTTCTAGGAGCAGCACACTCTGCTGGATGGGTGGGTACTGCACCCACCAGGACTGAGCAGTGGGTGTCCTTGCTGACCCGGGGCACGGTAGAGGTCATGGCAGGAAGGCTGAAGGGCTGGGGTGGGTGTGGAGGAGGACCAGAGGGAGAGGGCAGCCCGCTTAATTGCAACCCCTCCCTCTTCCCTCAGACCCATCTGGCCCCCCTGCAGAGTGGGGAGGAGGTGTCCTCCTCTTCCCAACAGCCCTGACCGGCAGCTGAGGGGTGGGGGCCTACGTGGCTCCTGGGCTCTTAGGCGCAGGCAGAACCGTCTCTACTCTGGCTGGGCAGGCAGCTAGAGGAAGGCTAACTGGGGCAGCCCTGGGCCTCAGACAATTGCCAGCCTATTTCCACATCTCCAGGCAGCAAGACAGGGAGCCTGGCCATTGTGCCTCCCCCCGGTGCCTGCAGGCACCCAGGCCCCACTTCATTCACTCCTGGGGGATGGGGGCCTGCCACCTGGGGCCACTTTAGAGCTAGGGGAGGGGTGCCCGCCCCCTCCCCAGGCCCTGGCTGGGGTTTAAGCCCCACCACTAGTGGAATCCCAGCCTGAGCCCCAAGCCTAAGGACCTGAGCCACCAGGGCTGTGCCATCCCTGAGCCAGCACCGGGTCCCTTCCCCCTGAACTGCAGCTGGCCACCCCCAGGGACCTGCAGCCCCGGGTCCATCCCTCTAGGATGCTGGAGGGTCATTCCTAGTCGGGCCAGCCTTGCAGTGCCTATGGCACACCTCAGGACTCTTGTCGGGATCTGTCGGAGGCTCAGCCCCACCAACCACTCAGCGTGGGGCACCTGGCCTCCAGTTCATCCCTAGAGCACACTCTGGAACCTTGGGATCATGCTGGTGGCCATGTGGGTACTAGGGTGGTGAGTTTGGTACTCCTAATTGTCCCACCCACAGTCCCTCCCGTGGGGACATCCTACGGAGTAAGTCATGCTTCTAGAGCAAACCCCCAACTGCCTGCAGCCAGACAAGAGCCCCAGGAACTGGGAACCGGGTGGTGCCAGGGCACTCACGTCGCTGAGCTGGTCCTGGGGACTGCTCTGCCGGGAGCTGCTGGCTTCAAGAACATTGTCGTCGTCACTGTTGTGGTCACCCCCTCTGGACACAGCAACCTTCATCTGGGGACAGGGAGAGACAGTCTCAGGCAAACACACACCTGAGCCCATTTGTCCCAGGCCCTCCTGCTTCTGCATCTGACTTGGGACCCACGCTGCAGCCCAGAGACCTCCCTGGTTGCTGGGGCTGGTCAGGGGAGACACTTCCTCCTGAGCTGAGGGTCTGGGGTCTGTAGAGTACAGCAGAGGGCAGAGCCTGCAGACCCTGAAGCCCGTGGCGACCTGCGCCAGGAGGAGATGGGACAGAGCACACCTAAACCCCCATCGGCTCCATCCTACTTCTTGAGCTGCTGACTCAGGGCATCCTTGGGGTCCCTGCCCACATCCTGTCCTTGGCCAAGCAGGAAGATGGTCAGGAGGCCCCAGGACTCCCACACCCAGTGCCCACAGTCAGCACAGTGCCTCCCTGGCCATGTGCCTTTGGGCCACTCTGTGCCTTAGTGTGCCATCTGCAAGACCCACTGACTGGCCTCGCCACCACACCAGCACACGAGGCCCAGGTCGGGCGAAGGCCTGTGCTGGGCCCTGTGGCCCTGCCCTGCTTGCCCTGGCTTCCCTGAGGGGAAAGAACGTTCATCCCCTTTCCACAGATGACCACCACGGCCCTAAGGGGCAAGTCCACAGGGGATAGAGCCACAGCCAGCGCTAGGCACTCTATCTCTGGAGGCAACGCCACAGGGCACATAGGCGAGGGCCACGGCAGGATGCCTGCTCACACCAGGGCTCAGCCTCCAGGCCTGCTCACAGTCTCTGGCACGTCCCCAGCTGTGTGCGCGCCCTTCAAGACACTGTGCTGGCTTGCCTGCCTGCCCGCCTGGCCCCCACTGCCCCTGGCCGCTGGGGCAGACTTGGCCAAGTCACGCACACATGTTGGCCTGAGACCTACCCCAGGGCCCTGCCAGTGTGCCTGATGGTGCCAATGCCAAGAGGCGGAGCCAGTCCTGGTTCACAGCCAGCCAACCAACCAGCCAGCCAGCCAACCAACCAGCGGGCCAGCCAACCAACCAACAAATCGTCCAACCAGCCATCCACCCACCCATCCACTTATCCAGCTGACCAAAACCCAACCAGCCAACCACCTGACCAGCAGTCTGTTTGTCCCTCTATCCGCCCACCCAGCCAGCCTTCAGAGTTTCTACGTTCTGGGCAGAAACTAAGACAGATGTGTCCCCACCCTCCTAAGCCTACGAAGGAACACCTCCAGTAACTATAAAGGACAGCGTGGCTAGGAACAGTGGCTCAGGAGGCTGAGGCAGGAGGACCTGAGTTCAAGGCCAGCCTGGGCAATTAATGAGATGCTGTTCCAAAATAAAAACTATGAAAAGGGCTGTCAGAGGGCTCAATCCCCAGTGGCAGGGGCTGAGCACACAGTGCTGAGGGTCAAGAACAGCAGAGGGAGGGTCCAGAAGGGCTGTTCCCCAAGGCCTGCGGCTGGCCAGGCTGGGCTCTGCTCACCACATTCTTCTGACACACAGTCATCATGACAGACCATTGCTGGTCCAGGAGAGAGGTTCCAGGGCAGCGGCTGGGTCCACACACTTGAGGACAAAGCTGGCCAGGTCTGCTGGCCACTGGGCAGAGACCTCAGCAACCCAGGAGGTCTGGGCATGGACAGGACATGGCCCCATGCACAGCCTCAGCACTGGACAGCTGGCCCCTTCCGCCCAGCAGAGGGGCTCTCCCTCAGGACCCACCCTCAATCAGGCAAGGGAGGCCTTCCCTACCAGGTGGGGCACTAAACTCCTGCTGCTCTGCACATGGGGGAGCCCCGGCCTCTGCCATTCCTCTGGGGTTTCTGAGGCCCCTTCCCAGGCCTCAGATCCCTGCCAGTTCTGTGGCTCTGGCCAGGTGGGGCCTCAAGCTTGGCCTCATCCAGCCCCACACAGGGAAGGAGGGACCTGCAGGGAGCCTGACCTCAGCCTTGTGCCCACCCTGGGCAGGGGTGGTGGGCCCTGGCTCTGGCACCGCAAGCTCTGACTCAGCCCTGCTCCCCACCCTGGGGCGGCGACCAGGTGGGGCCCTCGACGGGGCCTCCCAGCCCTCCGCAGGGGTCAGAGGGCCCTGGACCTGGGAACCTCTGTGTGTGAAGGGCCGCAATGTCTGCAGCTTCTCTAGAGGTTCAGAGGGGATGAGTGGGCAGCGAGGGCAGAGGGGTGGGAGAGGCCAGGCGCAGCGCCCACGAGCCTGGGAACCTGGTCTGCGTTACTCTGTCCACCTCAGCTGTGCTCAGGCTGCTCCCAGGCTGGCAGCATGCACCCTGGGTCCCTGCTGGCCAGCACTGGGGCTCCAGGAGCCCAGCCCTGAGCCTTCATGAGGTCTAGGGTGCCCGGCCTGGCAGGGCCCATAGGAGCAGCCCCTGGCTTGGGTGTGCAGGTGTGTGGGAAGTTGGGGAGGCGTGGAAGGGTCCTGGGGGAGCATGGAGGGAGTGAGGGGCACACCAGGGACTCTAGACAGACTGGCCAGCACTGCTCCTTGGCCTCCACTCCTGCCCAGTGACACCAACATGCCCTAGCCCCCAGCCACATCCCAGCCCAGAGCTCACGGGGCAGTGGAGGTCCAGGCTGTGTTCTACTGCCCCTGTGGCCGCAGGCAGTGCAGCACGTGGAGGCACAGGAAACCCAGCAGGCCAGTGGGGACCTGCACCAAACCTGCTGGTGTCATTCATCTGAGCTCGCTGCCAGCCAGGGCAACAGGGTGTGCCTCAGGGCAACCCACATACATGGCCCCCAGACCCAGCCAGGGCCTCAGTGGACACCTTTGGGCTTGGGGAGGAGGCCGTGCCAGACCCCACCAGCTCCTGGGATGGGAAGGGCGCTGACTCCCCCCTGGCAGGCCCAGGGCCAGGCCCACGCTGTGTGATATGAGCCAGCCTGGCGGGAGGGGCTGCAGGGGCACCTGCCTTTGCTATGTGAGCCCAGCCAGGCAGTTCAGCACACGCAGACTTCCTGAACACTCCAGGCAGGCTGGGAGACATCCCTCTTCAAGAGCAGAGTGGAGGCTTCTGCAGCAGAGGCCCTTCCTGCCCCTTCCCGGCCCCCAGCTCAGGCTGCTCTTGAGGAAGCATCTGCCCATTGGCCTGGGTTCTCCTTCCCCAGGCAGGAAAGAGGGTTCCACTCAGGTGGCTGGGGCCCCATGCAGCTGGGCTGCCCAGGACTGGGGCCTCGAGAAACCCTGCTGCTCAGAAGGGCACAGGAGGGAGGGCTCAGCAGCGACCCTAGCTCAGGCAGAAGTCACAAGCCCCCCAACACACACCATCCCAGTCCACAGATGAGCACACACAGGGACATGTCCTGCTATGTGTGTGCCCAGGGAGCCCACAAAGATTGTGAACGTCACCGACTCAGCCTTCACGCTCTGGTGTGCCCTGCAGTGGGAACACGTCCCACCAGCCCCCAGAGCCCCTTGTGCAGATGAAGCAGAAACATACTACAGTGCAGTGTGCCACCTGCACAGCTGCGCCTGACGGCCCTGGTGAGATCACCCAGAAGACACTCAGGCTCCAGTAGAAGGAGCGGGCAAGTGGCCCACCCAGTCTGCACTTGCAGGCCTGGGAGCAGGGGCGGGGCAGCCTGCCCCTAGTGTTGAGGGTGAGGGTGGGGCTGCCTGGCTGCTGGGCTGGGCCTCTGTCCAAGCAGGAAACAGGAACCTGTTGAGCCAAGGCAGAGAAGACCTCAGCAGCTGCTCTCCTGCGGGCACTGGTTGCAAGCTGCACCCCTCCACAGCTGCTCCTGGGGACACAGCCCTGCCCCCACATGCTGGGGCACTGGCTCTCAGCCCTGCTGCAGGCAGCCTGCTCCAGGGCCCTCCAGGGATCTGACCCCTGGAGTCGCAGCCTGGGGATCTGCCCAAGCTCCCAGTGACCCCGAGGTCAGTGTGCCCACGCAGGGTACCGAGTCCCTGGAGAGGGCACACTCAGTGCAGGTGATGCTGGCCCAGGTGGCCCTTGCCCCCATCTGGTCACAGGTCCTCTGAGGACCCCCACCTGTGTCCTCCCAGGGCTGCTGCCCAGCTGTGGAAGGCCCCAGGCGTGGCTGCAAGCCCCGCTGTGCTGGGCCCTGTCCATGGTCCTCTCCACACATGCCCACAGTCCCTCCGGCCTGGAGAGTGCAGTGCTCACTCTGCTCAAGCCTGCCCTGTGTGGGGCCAGCCTCAGTGTGCCCAGCCAGGAAGGGGCCTGCTGGCACCCACCTGACACCCACAGTGCCCACACACTGCGCACAGTGCTGAGGTGCAGGGGACTGTCTCTGCAGGGATGGGGCAGCACATGTTCCCTGGGGAGGGCCAGAGGAGGCAAGCCCAGCCCCAGAAGGGACTGGGCACCTCTGGGGCTGCCCAGGGGACCCAACCACCCCACCACCCCACAGGCTGCCTTGCAGCCTTGGGGTGCTCCTGCATATGGCCCAGTCGGCTGGGGTTGGGATGAGGGGTGTGGTATCACCCTGGCAACGAGGCCCACCCTGAAGGCCCACTGCATCAGGCCACATCCCGGGCCTAGCACACCCTGCTGAGGGGAGGCAGCGCCTCCTGGCCCTGGTGCTAGCAAAGGTACCTCCCATTGGCCCATAGCTTCTCAGGTCAGCACAGGGTACCAGTTCCAGAAGCCCTCCTGGACTGCACGCATTCCCAGGTCCTTCTGGAGGGAAGTGGGACTGGGCCAATCTGACCCTGCATCCTCAGGCAGGCGCTGGCAGCACAGTGGCCAGCCTGTGGTGCAGTGGCCAGCCTGTGGTACTGAGGGAGGTGTGGGAGCCCGGGGGCGGGGGTGGCCTAGTAGGCCAAGGTCTGGTCATGGGGGCATGCCCTGCAGGAACCATGGGACCCTTCCTGTCTGTCCTCACTTCCTGCCACCACAAAGTGAGCAGTCTTCCTCTGCTGGGATGTACTGTGCTGCCACAGGCCAAAGCCACAGAGTCAAGGGACACGGACTGAAACCTGTCCCCCTTAGGAGCTGACCATCTCAGGGACTTTGCCACGGCTGCATGGAGCTCACAGACTGCTTAACG